TTTTTTTTAAAAAAAAAGTTATCAAGCTCTTAAAAAATCACCCGTTAGTTTTTTCACTTGCCAACACTACCCTTTCGGTCGCATATTTTTTAGCCGACCTTGCTGACCCCGGATAAATGGCCGAATTTGTGTTTTTGCTTTGCATGTAGGTGGTCTTTTGTTCTTTTGTAGCTCAGTTGTAAAAGAATGCACTGAGAATGAAGAAACAGTGTCCAAAAACCCCGGAGGAACACTGAAAGAATTGTTTTTAAATGAGCATATTTTGAACGAATTCGGAGTTGGCCGCCAAACTACGCAAATTTAATGTTTGAAAGAGCAATAATGTCAACAGATCTTATTTCGCCTTCGAAAAGGTAATAATGTCAATTGATTTTATTGCGCACTAGTATGCGAAATAGTGCCAATTGGCGTTATTTCCGTTGAATTTGTAATATGTCATCACATATTTCAATCCTGCCTTGGTGTGGTTTACAAGCTTATATTTAACTTGCTCTGTATGTACGTAAGTTTGTTAGGGGCAAATCTTGCAATAAATTTTTATCCAACTTCCCGAGGACCTAGAGATTTGGAACTTCACAGTTGGTTCAGAACCCGATGAAGATGCAATACGAAAGGTGAATAAGTCCGATAGGTGGCGCAGGAGTCGAGATGTTTGAAAGACTCGTTTTGTAATCCGATTTGGTTCGTATTTAGAAAGCTTGTTTCAATAATATTTGATTTTTACTATTAACTTATTTTAACTATTTAAAAACTGGCCATTATTTTTGAACGCTTTCGACGTTATTAAGAAATTATTTTCTAAAACATGGAAACCAAATGTGTTTAAATGTTTTTTTTTTTTTATTAACGGATCTTTATGATTAGATTTTGCCGGTAGTTACGTAGAAAAAACGATCTCGGCTGCTTTTAGCACGTGGCTTGCGCAAAATAAAGGCGTTATTACAAACTTTTTTAGCGGGTTGCCTAGTGTTTATACATGCCTACATATGCACATACATAAACATGTACATATGTACATAAAGAAAAAATTATAAAATCATTTTTGCAATCGGCAAACACTTCAGAATACATATTTTATATAATCGATTTATGAGAGAGAGTACTTTAAGTGCACACTCCGGTTTCAGGTTAACTGGCAAGCCGCTGTCGCTTAATCCTGTCCTATATATTTTGTGCCGGCTAACCGGCGACCGGAACGTGTGAAACAAGGCTAAGGCTTTGGCATTCCATATTTTTAATTTTTAAAAGGGTTTTAAATAGTTGTAATCAACGCTTACTTCTTAATTTAAAAGAGAAAAAATCTTATCTACTCTGGACGATTCCTCTAAATAAATACAAATAATCACATGCGCAACACATGACTTCCGCGGCAGTACAAGAGTGGGAAGCGCGTTGATTTGCTAACAAACATATGTACATATGTATGTATGTAAGCAATGTGGGGCTTTAACCCAAACTAAACCTCCTACTGTCCAAGTACCGATCCCCACGGTACCACCATCACGTATTCCGTCGGGGGGCGGCTTGAGCACTAAGCTCGCACGTACGTTCCAGTCAAATCAAATGTATGTCAATGTACATATGTATGTCTATAAGTAGGTACAGTGAAAGCTCCAATAGACGGACGCTCTAATGAGCGAGCATCTCCTTTAAGCGGACCTATTCTTGGGAACGAACAATTTTTTATTTTTTTTTCTTTTTATACAAAATGCTCTCCCATACACGGACTTTCTCAAAAACGGACGCGGACACTCAAACATGTCTATTTATGAAAAAAAAAATCTCCCATAAGCGGACGCGAAGCTCTAATAAGCGGTCAATTTTGTTTTTTTTTCAGTCTGATGTTGACTCTTGTAAAAGTACACAACTAAATACGTCCATATTCAAAGATGTTTTCCTTTTTAAAATTTTATTTTACTTTTCATTGCCCTCTTTTCCGAAGCGAGCAATAGGATTTGTCGGTAAAAAAAACGCCATAAATTTGAATTTATTTTCCATTCATTCTCTTTTTATCTATTGAAGGAAACCTAAATATTATTTAAATTTAGTCACCCGCAATTCAAATTTTTTAAACTAGAATTTTAGTATAATTTTTTTCCGAAATTCCCATAAGCTGACAAAAAGTAAGTCCCCAT